AGTCTTATTTAAAAGTGAACCGCGAAATGCTCAAGGAATCAAGTTTGGTTAACAACACGAACAAATGTATTAGTATTTGCAGAAGAGACTAAATCTATTTGTAATAAAATACTTCTGTTGCAAGACAATAAAATCTGACAATTTAATTTAACATTTCAAATAGCTTACTCAGAACAAGTTTATTTCACTTAAATAAATTTCTATTAAAACTATTGTTTTAGTGTTTGCATTTATTAAGTAAGATTCACATCATGATATGTTTATATATTCATGTATAAATATATACATATTCTTTAAAAGATCGGACGTCACCCGTCATTTGCATTAAAGTATGTATAATCCAGCTCTGCTTCGGGATATAACAAAATTGTAGTCATTTTCCGTTGTCATATTCTCGGTATATGGGCCTGTTAAAAGTTCTAAATCACCTTTAGAGATATAACAAACATTTGTCTTTTTTTCACATAAATAACGCAAATGCATTAATTTTAAAATGAATTCAAGCAGATACTTGAAACTACTGTGGGTTTTCCATTTGGGCTACTTCCTGCTCCACCAAAGACTCGATGATCGCCCACGTCTCAGCGGAAACTTCCCTGTCGATTTCAACGGCTCCAACAATATTAAACACATCTATGTTTATGTGTGGGAATCGAAGCACGGGATTGTCCAAAAAGTCGTCATTCTCATCGCTTGGCTCCATTATCGTATCCATATCAGATTTTGTTCGTTGATCAATGGGTATATCGCACCAAACATCAATATCTTCCGGGCCTCTAGACACAACCTGATGGTCCTCGTCCGTCAGCATGTTGGCGTTGACGTGTTATGATGTATTTTGTATAAATCTATAAAACTGCTGCCCGTAGCCAAAAAAGACTTATAAAAAATATTAAAATTTCTAGTTTTGAGCAGTAAATTCAGCCTGTTAAGTTATATTCAGTAGTGCAATAGAAATATGCTTTCCTTCATGGACTATTTGCAAACCAGCTTTTAAAATTACACCATGACTGTTTTGACAGCTTTGGCAAATTGGCTCTAGAGCCGAATTGAACTAATTAGAAATTATTATAATCTCGGTGCAGCGGCCACAGCAAAGTGCAACCAAAACTTTGAACATGCCCCAAATGCTGCCACCTGCTGTGAGGTCATCGTCTGGCACCTCCCATAAATTTGTTAACAGCGCCAACGCTTTCGCCACGCAGGGGTATTCAGTGCAAAATGTGGCTATAGCTGCTTTCCGGTTATGGGACGATTCACTCCCAACCTCCCATCCTTTCAATACTCAGATAAAAATTCGTGGTAGCAGCGCCAATTACAAACTTTCGCATTGGCACCCACCCACAGGCCAACCAAATGGCTAAAAATGCACCCTGACATCAGTGATGGATACAAAGATACCCTGTAACTATCTCATAAATGCAAACTATATAAATATATAGGTAGCATACAATTATTTGCTTATATTACTATACAAATATGTCAACTTCGAATAAGCTCTTTGTTCCAAAGAACTTGACGTGCTTTTTAGCCACCTTTAAAAGAAAGAGAAATACAGAGAATGCAAAGCATCGTTGCAATGCAAAATATGAAAAATATGTGCATTTTTATTAAAAATTGAGTTGATTTTTTTTATGCAAGTTTAACCAGCCTTATTATTTCCTTACTCTGCTTTCAAAGATGAAAGAGTATATTGGGCTTGCACTAAAGTCCGCTTATTTAATTATATGCGAAATATATTTCTTTGACGAAAACTAGTGCAACCAAATTTCGTATTTATTTTAATAACCTTTATTATTTTACTAAGCCCGCCCACAGTATATATCTTCCCTATAAGAAGGGCCCAAACTTTGCCAACTAGTTGACACTGAACATAGCGTATCCCGTAGTCGGGAACCTTATAGCACAAACTTCCCACTTGTTATTACTTGCATTGCGATGTCGAAAGTTTCGCCAGTATTAATAAAAGTTAATTTCGCTGCCGGATGCAGGCGCAATTCATAATTAAAAATAGTTTTAAATGTATCAGGCGTCCCATTCTGTTGTACTTCGGGCATGGCCGACATCCTATTTTGCATCGCGTATATTTTATTTAATTAATTTTCCACTGGCATACAAAAACATTTTCAGATATTCCTTTTCTCTTTTATTCTCTGTTTGCATAAAGCTAGGGAAAAAATGGGAATAAATAAAACTCTACAAGTAAGTGCAGAAGGACGAGTTTCGGGCTCTTCACCTTTGGCTGGGTTCATAAATTTAGTTACATTTGATAGTTAAAAAGAAAGAAATTTAAATAGGATATGAAAAATATAACATTCAAGATTTGAATGGATAAGATTAAAAAATCAATTTGTCATGCGATTTTTCCGTGTAAAGGGTATCTCCTAGTTAGTTCAGCAATCTTTGCTAAAGAAATATTATATGCTCATTGCTCGCATACTCTGAGGTTCACCTAATTAACCGCAAATGCGTATAAAGAAGCAAGGGCAACAAAATAAAGAAGGGTGGGTGGCTGCGGTCTGCGGAATAAAATATGTTTCATATGACATTAATTCGCAGTTAAATAAATATGTAAGGATTTAGTTGTCGCATTTAATTATAGATTAAATGATCCCACAGAATCAATACAATGGCATATTTAATTGAATTCTAAAAATGCACAACGTTAAGCTTATTTTACATAATTTAGGTTTATCAGAGATGCCTATAATGCACGTTAAGGAATTTGATATGTTTCATTGGGATTTTTCCTCGGATCTTCCCATAATTCCCTCAGAGAGTCACAATCTAATCATACCATTGACAGCTCGGGGCAAAATTGATGACAAACTTTTGCGAAAGAAAGTTTTTGGGGTTTTGGCGAATGAATGTTAATGTGAACGACCAGTTCCATGCACAGTGGCATATATGAATTATTGCAAGGGCTCAATTAAGTTGGGGCCGAGATTAGCCTAACAGCCAAAGGGCCGCCGCGCCTGATGTATCAAATTGAAAGGTTCCAAATGCATTGATTTTGATTTGGCCACTTGGTTCATTAAAAAGTTTCAGATTGAGCCTTGTTGATGTTTCATGCCAGCTATGAATATTACAAAAAGTTCAAAGTTTGCAACAGTTTTAATTAGAGCGCAAAATCAACGAAGAAACTTTGACGTACTTTTAATGAAGCAACTTAGAACCAGACGGTGGGGTTGGGATAAGGGGCAGCGCCTTATGCTGTCAGGTAATAAGTCCAATAAAAAGCAGCAAAGTAATGCGACCCTTTTGCCTATTTACTTTTATTGTAGACAACCGGGTTTGGCGGCCTGCCAGACGTAACGGAGCACTCGAACATACGCCGTACACTCTCCCGCCAGAACTCGATCTCTAACAGTGACTCAGGTGGAGAGATTGCCAGCATCCAGAAGTCCAAGGGCTTTGGCAGTGCGATGACGGGCGGAGTCGTTGTTGGCAGCGATATCGCTGGAATCGCTCTCGAAACAAAGTCGCCCACCTCTTTGGCAACGGAAGCGGCAGCGACAGCCGGTGGCTCCGGCAAAGCAAAGGGAAAGACTACCCGCAAGGCAAGAAACATTTCAGGTGCCGCCCACAAGACGCGACGCGGCTCCTGGATGGTGGCTCTGACCCTGGTGAGCGCCATCTGCCTGCTGGCTATAGCAGCTACACTGGCCTACCAACACTTTCTCATGTCGCCCAGTCGAAACTCTCACGCGCAAAGATTACGAATCGTTAGGCGCATCCTACGTGAAGTACCGCTTGTCGACGGACACAACAACTTTGCCTGGAACGTGCGCAAGTACGCGCACAGTAGCCTGGAGCTGGTTCATCTAAGCCACGACCTTGATCACAAGTCGATGTGGGCACGCCCGACGTGGGCGCAAACAGATATGGAACGGCTTAAGCAAGGACTGGTCGGCGTGCAGGTCTGGTAAGTAGTAATCTACCATACCTAAACAACTTAAATTGAATAATAAATAAACGGTCTACAACAACAATAAAAGCCCCAAGGCCCGAAAATCCGAGGCTAGTTGAAGCTTACAGTAGACTTAGCTGTCTAGACAATAACTATATGCAATGCTGATAAAATTGAGGCCCATTCAGCTAGCAAAATAACAACAGATTCATCGGCCCAACTGACAACATGTTGGCGCTCTGCAAAAAACTTTAAAATAGTTTTTTCTTTTTGGTCGATGTTTTACTGATAGGAATTCAACCATGTTTGACATTCACCCATAACAATTACCTAACACCGAGCGCACATCAGCAACATACGAGCAATCGCCGCAATGCCCACATTCACACCGCCGCCCACCCACGGGCAAGAGATGCCAGCAATTTGACTGCAAAATAAAATTTGGCAACAGCCACCGTGTGGCTGCAGGGCAAACGGCCAACCTTATTCAGCTTCCAGGCAATCTTTAGCACCCAGCCAACATGCCTATCTGCATGCCATACCCAAACTAGAAACAACAGCAAAACAAATGGAATGGATTGGGAACACAAGGAGGAGTGGTGCTTGACAGGCGGCAGACAGCTGCAGTTTGGGAAAAATGCTGATGGGCAATCCACTCGATTTTATTTGGTAGACCTCTGACACCAAACATTCAGTCTGTTGCTCTGCCCGCCGCCAAACAGAGTGTAACTCTGGGCCATTTTCGAACTTAATTTTAGTGGTCGTCATTGTTCAATTTCCGTCCGAAACTCCGTCCGAATTCGCCGGAGATGAAACTAAAGCTCACCAGGATTGAGCCATTTGGTAGCTATAGTAGTTTTCAGTGGCCCTCCTTATTGCAATGTCATTGCATTTAAAATTCAAATGTGCTGTTAGTTAACCATTCAGATCCACGCAAACTGCATAATAATGTTATTGCAAGGATCTGAATGGGTAGTGGGGGGAAAATGGAGAAATAGATGATGTCGAGACACTCAATAAATGACAAAACTAATGAGAATAAAACTATTCCTTATATGCTAAAGTATATTCTATATTAATACATAATTGACATGTATTAAAATATTTATATTATTTACTTCAGGAACAAGCCATTGATTTCTCATAGATCTAAGTGTCCTAATTTTAATCCCACTTAATCGTATTGTTGAGCTTTTTTACGAACAATAACAATTTCAATACCAAGGAATCGGAACGGATTTCCTTATTTCAGTTAAAAGTTTATTTTTTTCCTGACCTCCACAGCGGCGTTGCTTGCAGTCCTTGCATTTGCATATCTTCCTCTTCTCAGCGTTGGTCATCCGAGCTGCTCCTTCTGAAACCGAACCAGCAAGATCCAATCCTGGAGCAACTAATCCAGCTTGCTCTGAGCCAGGAGCAGGTGAACTGTTAGCATTCGAACTACTTGTATGTTTTTTTCGATGGGTTTTCGATTTAGCAAATGCAGACAAATTGCAGTTCTTGAAATGTGGATTCTGTTTCTTCCTTAAAAAGATCTGCCGACGGTCTAGGACTGTAGTGCGCTTGCTTACCCACCAACCAAAGTCGGGCTCAATAAAATATGGCTTCGCATCAATAAGTTCTTTATCCATACTTTCCTTATGCTCCTTCAACCAGAGGCGGCCATATTCCCAGCCCAACAATAAACCAATTGATGGTTGTTCTTTATCAAATGAAGGTACAAAATCATTGTGACGAGCTTGTGGCGGCTCCCTGGGAAAGATTTCATGGCTTTCCTTGCAAGACCTGAACTGTTCAGCGCGTGCCCACGTCCTGTGCATATTAAAAACGTGTTAATGTGTTTTTGTGTTGGACTTACTTTCAACAAACATTTGAAACTGAACTTTATAAATTCACAGCATACTTAAAATCGACTTACAAATTTTTCAAAGTAATCAAAACATTCAAGCAAATCAAACATTCAATAGTATGTATTATTCTAGTAACTATATGAATCGGTATAATTAGGAGGCAGGTGTCCATCATCAACCAATTTATATTTGTACATTTTTCCAATTATTTAATATTATTTTTATAAATTCTGAGGTCATTTGTTTTTCCTCTCCTTTTACTTTCGCAGTTTTTTTCAATTACTTGACCCTTCTCCTTATAGAGAGACCTTATGAACTAAAAACTATTTTGTTTATATTTTTTTGTTTTGGGTTTCATTGCAGGTCGGCGTACGTGCCATGCGAGGCGCAGGGCTTGGATGCGGTCCAGCTGGCACTGGAGCAAATCGACATTGTGCGGCGGCTGTCTGACATGTATGCAAGAGATACGGTGTTGGCGACATCCTCGCAGGAGATAGTGGCCACGCATAGGCGTGGCCTCCTGGCCTCGCTGATCGGCATCGAGGGGGGCCACACAATCGGCTCTTCACTTGGCGTGCTGCGCTCTTTCTATTCGCTGGGTGCACGCTACCTCAGCCTGACGCATCGCTGCGATGTGTCCTGGGCTGGGTCAAGTGCCTCTCCACTGGAGCAGGGCCTATCGCCCTTTGGCAAGGCCATTGTGCGGGAAATGAATCGTCTGGGCATGATGATCGATCTTTCACACAGCTCGGATGCAACGGCACGTGATGTGCTTCAGGTGACACGAGCACCCGTCATCTTCTCTCACTCGGCAGCACGCCAGCTGTGCAACTCGACGAGGAACGTGCCCGATGATATATTGCGTTTGGTGGCCGAGAACGGTGGTCTCATAATGCTGAGCTTTGACCCAGAGGACGTGGCCTGCGGACGTCAGGCGCGATTGCAAGATGTAATAGAACATATTAAATATGTGCGAGCCATTGCTGGCATTCAACACATTGGCCTGGGTGCCGGTTACGATGGCATTGAGATGCCCCCGATGGGCTTGGAGGACGTATCTAAGTACCCGGAGCTGCTGGCTGCGCTGTTAGAAGATCACAACTGGAGTGAAGAGGATGTTGCCATGCTGGCTGGGCGCAACTTTTTACGCATCATGGAAACTGTAGAGACGGTACGCGACTACTGGAAGCGCGCCGCTATTCAACCAATTGAGCAGACGGAGCCGCAACCAAAGACACAATGCACGTACATGTCGTCGTGACCACTGCCGCAGGCGGTGAGAACGCGCCGCGATGAGCCCGTTACCGTATCCCATCTGGAGAGGGTCAACCCCAATCACACCGAGAAGGCGTTAACGGGTGCGCAGCTCTGGCACCAACTAGAGCCCATCGCAAATCAAACTGAATTGCGCCGCATGGCAATGGCTGCCACAGCCACAACAATGGCAACCACTTTTGCAGTCAGTGGACTTTTGCAGTAGGCAGTAGTTATTACTCGCGCTTAACTGTCTGCCAGTCTGTCTGTCTATCTGTCGATCTGTCTGTCTGTCCAGTAAGCTGAAAATTGAGTTCAATCGCTCTTCATTTATATATTAACATACGATAATAATCCTCTGACAATGCACAGGCAAATGGAAGTTGAAATAACATTATGTTGGCACAGCAATCAAAACGACGAATTGACGATATAAATAAAATCAAGAAGCGTAAAAATAAGTATGTAATATAATTAGTACGTTCATACGTAGAATACAAGTTTATATTCTGACTTAATTGAAGTAGAGATATATGTGGGTTTCATGTTTTATTTAAAGGTTGCAAATAAATAATTTGATACGTAGGCGTACGGAATCAGTGCTTATTATGTTTATAATTATAATTAAATTAATTATTAATTGTTAAGATATTAAAAAAACAAAAAAAGAGTTAAAATACCAGTGGCTAAAACATGTTATAATATTTTGTGTTTCCATGGCATGACCAAAATAATTAAAATATACCAAAACAACATGCAGTCGAACATTTGGTATATATGCATATATATATAGTGTGTGTATGTTTTTCCAAAATTAAATTAACGCCGCATTGTATTGCGCCTGCCTAAACAAGGCTAGAATTACTAACAATAAAATTGTAAATTAGTATTTGGTTTAGTTTTGACCGTTAAAGTTCATTCAAAAATAACGCATCAACGAGTTTTTTAAGCGAGCGATTTGCCAAGTGAGTGGACCGCTAGCAATTTGCCACTGTATTATATTATAACAATATATATTTGTCATAATAAATAATACAATAATAATAAAATACAGTTATTTGCAGCCCTCAATCCCCAGAACTTAAAATTATATGTCACTAAGTAAAAATATGAACGCAAAATTTATTTATTGTCGCACAAATGTGAAATGTGTAATGGCATTTAATATTACAGGATTAAAATAAAATCACAAAATATATAAATTAAAAGTGTTTTATGTGTTTGCACACAAGAAAAACACGCACACTTAATTGAAATTAACAGAAATACAAGCATAATCGTTCTTATTAAATTTAGGAAAGCAACATAAATATCGTATAAAATAATTGCATTTCCATAAAATAAACTTAAATAAATATCAATAAACGTGTGTATCATTGTGTAACTTCTCATAATAAAACGAGGTACATTCCAGAGATGCATTCAATAAGTCAAAGAGGCTATAAAGTACAATCGGTAAAGTTGCGAATAGAGTATTGTGCAGTCGTTTGCATCCGACTGCGCCGTTCTCATTTGTTTCTGGTGACTTGCAAGAAAACTACGTATGTACATAGAAGCTGAACTCTCAACCATAATTTACTGCAAATAATGCTTTATACTAAGGCGTAGGGATTCATTTTATGTATATGTGTTGGCATAAGTGCTGAGGCGCACACTAACGCATTCTTGTTGTCTGCGGCCATAAAAAACGTTAAGTGGTCGTAAATCAAAATTCAGCTAGCACAAAGAAAGTTCACCAAGTTCTTTTTTGCAGAAAACGTAGTTTTTCGTGCTTGGCCTTATACCTCGCTTTTATTTATTTTTAACTACTTTTAGCACTTGAGAAAGAAAATGCAACTGGCTTTCCCATAGAAACCAAAGCGCAAATAGAGCCAAATATTGGCAGGCAAGAAGAGAAGAACAGTACCAACGCCTAGAGTCCTTAGGCCAAGTAAGTTCTATTCATTTACAGTCCATTGAAACTTGCTTGTATTTTAACGCGAATATACAAAAGCCGCCCAGTAGCCCACAAAGATTGCCAATTCCAATCTCCGCTAACGTTCCTTGCGCTGCCTGTTATGGGCCTTGATGGCGCCAACGCCATCAATGTCTGATAACAATGTTTTTGTTGTTTACACGAGGAGTTAAGGTTTTTGTCTTGATAGCTTCCATTTAGTATTAAGCTTCTCGAACCTATCTGCTGTTCATTTTCTGCCGATTGTTTAGTTTTGCTGTAGCATAATAGAGACACTAATTGTTGTGCCCAGGCTGTCCTCCCTTTGTTTTGCAACAATTTTCGAAAGTATTTTCTCTTGAAATTAAATTGAATACAAGTGAAAGAAAATTTTAAGACCTACTTAAGAGCCTAAAAGGACTTCTACCCTACCCTTACCCTAATAGACGAACAATTAGTTAAGATTATTCATAAATTTATTCCTGTACCCATTGAAAATTGGGAGACACGTGTATACAACAGGCAGAACGCGCCAACCCAATCCATTTGAAATGATGGCTCTTTTGCAACATACGCAGAACAAGTTTGCTTAAGATTATGGATAGCTAATATAGCTTATATAGCTTATATTTGAAAATTAACTTTAAGTCTAACGGATGACAAGAAAATGTTGGAGTCACATATTTGTCACCGTATTAATTTTGTTGAAAGGCCACCTTGCCGACCATCCATCTGATACTATATCCACCAGTTTTTCACACTTGTGGAATGAATTTAGACTCTGCGTTGATGCACCAGTCAGTGATTGCCCAAATTCAACTAGTCAGAACATACAGGGTTTTTTTATGAAGATGGAGAAAATCATTTAACTTATCTTATGCATTAGTTAGTTAATTTTTGATAATACATTTTAATGTCAGGTGCAAGGCGCGGTCATTAAACTACCTTCGCTTATGATTACAGCTGCCATTAAAATTAATAACATGTTATTTGCTTCAGCTTTACGACAAGTTCTTAATTAAGCGATACCAGATACCGCCCACTCCCAAGTGTAGACACTCGTTAACGCCAGGGCCGCCGTTACATAGCTTTCTCATTAACACGCTGTCCGGTTTCAATTTCCCGCTTAATTTTATTTCATTAAAAATGCCTTTCCCTATGGCACATTGTGTTCAAGTTTCATCATAATGCCCATTGTCAAGTAGTTTGAGCTGCCCATCCGATCCCTCATGCACCCCTCTATGCCCAGCATGCGCCAAAAAAGCCATAAACATTTTGCCAGAAGAGCTGGCGCAAGTTGATGGAAAAAATAATGCTTGATGACATTTATAATGACTAAAATGTTGTACGAATTGTCCTTGCCACGCTTGTTGTTGTTGATAATTTGACATGCACCGCATCCCTCCCATCCGTTTCATTTGAGCGCCGTCATCATAAATCTCTGCAGTTTATTCTGAAAGCTACACTTCAGCCTGCCGGTTCATTATGGTTTGTTGATTCAGTTATAATGTTGACCAGTCAATAACTAACAATTATTCAAGAGATGATAACATTTTTAAATAATCAATTTCGAATTTTCGCCCAAAGGCTTTAAATATTCTATGAACTGCTCCAGAGATGCAAGGCAAGAAGTGCTTCCCAATAAGGGTTCCCATTGTCGACAGCATCCTATATAAAACTAGCAAATTAAATGCCCATAATTGTAGTTAGAATAGAAGAGAAGATTACGTTAATTTAATGCGTAGGCATCGTGAAAATTGTGTGCTTTGAAATTTTGCAAATGTCAGAGCTCTAAGTAGTATTACGTTTGGCCCATGTGGCTCCATGCCGTACAGTAACGCAATGGGAGACTAAGC